CACTGGCTATCTTCATTCCTGAAGATTTGCCGCAGATATTACTTCCCAAGAGGCAGGCTTTATAGACCCCCAAACTCGGAAGGCCCTGTTCACCCTTCACTCCGTTCTACTCTAAGCACCTACTTGGTGTCCCTTTCTGCTTGCTGCCATCATATAGCAGTGCCTGACTATAGAATAGCACCTAGTTCCTGTGTCCCAGCCCCTGCCCAGCTGAACTCACCATCTGGCCCTGCTTGGCCATTTTTTTGATGTCTGCGATGATTTTCTTTTCCTGGGTCTCTAGCTTCTGTCGCTCACGGTCCAGCTCTCGCATGGCGCGGTTCAGGGCTCGTTGGTTCTGCCGCAGCAGCTCCTCCGGAGTTTTCCGGCGCCCGAACAACAGGTCCATGGAGGCAGGAGCCCGCTGGTGGGCCTGGGACTAGTGCGAAACCTAGCTTCTGGTTGGCATGGGGCCCAAAAAAGTGGCAAGAGGCAGCATGTATGCAGGGGCAGGACGGGTAGGGTTGTGGAAGACGGGAAGGGGCGAGTAGGGAGAAAGGGTATAGTGAATGGAAGACCAAAACAGTGCTACCGGAAACATCGGGGAGGGCCTACAGTCACAGTGGGGACAGCTATGCCTAAAAGCCAACACAGCGTTCCTGTACCAGCCCCTTCATTACAGTGCCTCAAGCAGGCTCTAGGCTTCCGCCTCCCTCTCCAGACAAGGGTGACGCCCTGTTGTCTCTGATGGACGGAGACTGGAGGTGGACGGTTGGGAGTCAATTGGGGCATTTGAGATCCTGAGCGTCAGGGTAGTGGGAGTCCCCCACGGGAGGGCAAGATACGTGGAGGCCCTGAATGCCAAGCTGACAGCGAATGGACGGCATTCAGATCCCGGGACTCTGAAAGTTGAGGGAACCTCTGTGCCGAGAGTACATTTAGGGGCATCGGGGAACCCTGTAAACCGAGGGCTGCAGAATGGGTGGATGGTGTCCACCCAGGCCAGGGTCTGAGGGCCGTGGGGGCCCTGCACACCGACAGCAAGGTGGCGACGCACACCCTGACGGTGAGTCCCAGGAAGAGAGGCTCAGGACGGCCCCGGTGAAGAGCCCCTCCTACTTGGTTGCCCACGCACCCACCTGGGACCCGAGGCCCGGTAGGGGCAACTCACCGAAGCTGGGACGGGGACCCACTTCCGCTTCCGGGTTACGAGCGTCTAGCTCGGTTCCCGGGCGCGGTGGTCTACAACAAAACCCTCCGGTTGTTGCCGCCGCAGTCGCCTTTTCCGGAGTAAACGACCTGACGTCACAGGCCACGCCCACTCCGGGGCGTAGGGAGGTGACTTAAGCGCGCGTGCGCACACACCCTGTAACAGACCGGCGCCGAAGTGCATGCGCGTCAGCTTCGTTTCGTCGCAGCAGACTAAGGATGTACACACGTTCGAGTCTCGTGGCACGAAACCGAGTCACGCCCGGAGGATGACACACCCGCAATGTTGGTGCACCATTCGACCTCTTCCCCGACACTCCTCGGAGGTCCTACATCCCATTATGTAACTCACTACTTAGCCCAGTCTTCAAGGAACTTTGACCCTCTCCTTAATGTATACGGACCTCAGGCACTCAGGCAAGGTTCTCCTCCACTGGCCCACCCACCCATGGCAAAAGGGAGTGGCAGCGGTGATTGATTGTGCACTTTCCCCCAAGCTGATATACCCGCCATGGACACCAGCAGCCCCTTCCAAACCCACAGAAGAAGCGGAGGCCATGCAGTAACATTCCCCTTTAATAGCCTGGTGGGACCTCCAGTGGTGAAGGGTTGGGGTGTCAGGGCCCCAGCCACCCAGTCCCCTTGGCCACCCACCCCAGAGCCCAGAGTGGGGGAGGGGGGCTGGACGACACCCAGCGTGGGGCTAGACAAGCCAATTCATTTCCCATCGCTGAGCTGGTCCGGGTTGGGGGTGGGGAGGCAGCGCCGACCTTAATCACATGGTGGTTAAAAAAAAAATAACTAGGAGCAGGTGGCAGGAAGGGGAGGCAAGGCTGGGGCATGGGATTCCCCCACCTGCTGCCCCATGCCCACCACCTGTGGCCCCTAATAAATATTTGCAGGGGACGCCGGGGCTGGTGGCCCTGACAGGGATGGGTGTGCGCCAACCCTACTTCAGGCAGCGCTCAAAGTAAGTGGAGCCGATGTAGCCACCCCTCATGGAGCGCTGCACGTTCTGCTCAAACAGCCGCCGGTTGTTCTGCAGGACCTCAGCGGCCTCCTTGTTCAGTGGATCTTCAGGGTTGGGCTCCTGCAGCCAGTGTGGGTGAGGGTCAACAGGTCCAAAGGGTAGGGAGACCAACTTCCCCAAGCCCTACCCACCCACCTCTACTCACCAAGAAGAGATACTGCAGGCCATAAATTATGGAGTTTATCGTAAGGACTGGCTTCCAGTCCTCTCTGTGGGCAGAGAGCATCAGGTTCAGGGACCAGTGGCTAGGAGGCTGCCACAGACCCTGCTGGGCCTGGACAGGTCAGGCACAGGACAGTGTGTGTGTGAAGCTAGGGGGAGGGTGCAGAGCGGCACAAGCCAGAAAGAAAGTCAAGGTCATGCCATGAGGAAGAAAACTTGGAAATGAAGAGACACAGGAACACAGACCACAGCAGGAGGAAAGGGATGGAAACTGGTTCAGTGCACGGCCACGAGGGGGCCTGGCAGGCAGGACTGGGGAGAGCAGTGGAGGGCCAGTGCCTTTACCTGAGAATGTTGAGGCAGACGTTGCCCTCGAGGTCAATGTTGGGGTGATAGACCATCGTCTCACACTTCACCTTGGGGGGGTCATGCGGGTAACCCTGGCCCACCTGGCTCCAGGAAAAGAGGGGAAGTGGATAGTGTCCCAGCAGTGCCTGGGTGGAGCCTCAGCTGTTACCTCCTCAGCCCGGGGAGCCGCCCCTGCCCACCTGGGACTCACCTTAAAACTGAACACAAACTTCCCGCTCTTGTAGAAGCCCTGTGAGGGGAGAGAAGAGAAAGGCCTCAACCCCCATCCTGCAGGGCCTGGCAGGTGAACTAGGTCTCCCTATTCAAGATTGGGCCATGGCCTACTCAGTGCCTGGGAGTCTAGATAAGTGTGCTCTCACCTCATCAGGACAGATAACCAGCTTGAAGTTGAGGAGGTCATCTGGGTCTGAGAAGCTGATGTCACAGGTCTTGGGCAGGTTCAACTCGTTTATGTCTGGGTTTGCACAACAGAGGAGCACAAAGAAAGGGAAGGAGGAGGAGAGGGGAGGGTGGTCAGAGCAGGGTAGGTGCCAGCAGATCCCCTATGGCCTCCTCCAGGACCCTGGGGCTCTGTCATGGGCTGTGCCCCACATCCTCAACCCTGTCCCTACTTTCTGCTCCCCAGTCTCTAGGCAGGATCTTCTGGATCCACAACACAGCCCAAACATGCAAACATACCCTAGCATCTGCTCCGGAATAAACTCCAACTCTGATCCCCCAACCCCAAATCCCTATACCCAATAGCTAGGTTTCCCAACTCAGCTCCTAACAGTCCCGAATCCCAGGTGGTCCCCAAGAGCCTCTAACTATCCCAAATCCCAGGATCCCTAGCCACCACTTTCACTATTTAGTGGACTCTGCTAATCCTTACCTGTCCACTGAAACTCCAGGACCCTGCCACTCACACTCCACATCATCCCCTCACCAATCCCGGGTCTCCACCATCCCTCTGGTCTCCTCTTTACCTGTCACCCGAAATCCAGGTTCCTATCTAACCCCCAGACCAGTGAGTTCCCAGCTCTACTAACCTACACTGCTCTCAACCCTCCTGGCACTCATCATCCTTTCCTCCAGCACCTGTCACCCAAACTTCCAGACCCCAGAACCTACTCCACCCCATCTGAGTCTCAGATTCCCAGTGACCCCAGCATAATCACAAAATCCTCTCCCACTTTTATCCCCAGCACCAGGCTCCTAGTATCCCCATGTCCTCTCCCTGCCATCCGGGTTCTCGACTGATCCCCAGACTCAGTCCCTAGCCCCCAATACCAGACTTTCTGAGTATCCTAAATGTCCCGTCCTGTGCCCCCAATCTCTTACTTTCCGGTGACTGCATTACCCCACCTCTGATCCTCCCAGCACCCCAAAGTTCAGGCCCTGACCTCTGACTCTCCACATCCACGGCCCCCTAATTTCGGCCACCGCTGACCGCAGGCGAATGCGTTACCCAACTTCTGACTCCCTCTTTACCCCATCCCAGGCCCTGACTTCCGACCCCCACCCCCACCCCCTGACCCCCTACCCTTCTGGATCCGCAGCTGCGCCGCCGACGCCTTCTTGCTGCTGCCCTTGGTGCCGCCCGCCGACTCCTCCTCCTTCTTCTGCTGCTTCAGCGAGAACAGCTTGATCATCCTGCTGCCGCCGCCGCCGCCGTTGCGGGGCCCGGGACCCCGGCCACCCGGCCCCCCGCAGCCGCCCGCGCCGCCTCCGCCACTAGGACCGGCCGACGCGGCCTCCTCCGCTGCTGCCGCGGCCCCTCCGGCCTGCCGCGCCGCTCCGCGCCCACCGCGCGGCCCGCGTCGGCTCCCGTAGTCCGGCTCTGGCCTGGCCCAGCGCCTCGGCCTCGCTCGGAACTGCTCGGGCCGACTCGACTGTTTCCGGCCCGCTCGGCCCCGCCCCCACCCAGCCGCTCTCTCCGCCCCCTCGCCCGCTCTGGTCTCTCAGGCCCGGCTGCGGCTGCGGACAAGGACTCCTTGGGTCGCGCCGCTTTCCCGTTCTTTCCTTCCCTCCACGAAGACGATGTGGCTCTAGGTGGAGGGAGGCGGAGATGGCCGTATGTTGGAGTAAGCTCGGCTTTTGCGGGAGCAGCGACTTCGGCGCGGAGGTTCGCAACGGCCTCGGGATCCCCACTACTTCGGAAATTTCCGCCGCCAGTTCACTTCGGCTCTTCCCGGTCGGCCTGCTCTGTGCGCCTGCGCAGCCGCAACCACCGCGGCCGCCCTCCTCGCTGTCCCCGCCCAGCGTTGCTTAGCTTTGGGGCTTAGAGTTCGGGTATTTTCTGCTGGGCTCGAGTATTTCCGCTGGTGCGGTCGTAACTTGGTCACTTCCGGGATCGCTCTTGGGGACCCAGGTAAAGGGCGCCATCTTTAAGTACGGCAGAAGCGGATCGCTTCAGTAGCGGTACAGGGATTCTCACTTTCCCTACTGCAGACCGCAGCGGAGGTTGCTCAAACGGGACCCTAGTCCCGGAGGTCACAGAGGCGTTGTGATTACGGCGGGTCAGAGCCTGGGACTATGCCAGGTGCGTTGTGCTGAGGGTACGGGGCAAATACCAACAAGCCGCTCGCAGATATTATAGTTGAGGTAAACTAACATGTATTGTGCTAGAGTGCTCATGAACTGTAGAGTTCTGCGGTAGTGGAGGACTTGGAGAGGCGAAGCCGCTTTGCGCGAACCCTAACTTCCAGCAGCGGCTCGCGGAGCGTCGTGGGTGGGCCCAGCCTTCCTCCAATCACAGCTCAGCGTGCACTAAGGGCGGGCGGAAGCGGCGTCTGGCGGTTCTGCGATCGTCGACTCGTCACCTTGGAAACCGTCTAGCGGGTGAGGCTCTTGGGCGCTAGGGTTAGGCCGTTGTGTGCGGCTGGCACTCTGCAGCTCAGGCCGTCCGCATCCGAGAGTGATTCACGCGACACGTCCCCTCCTGAGAAGCGGGGCACTGAGTAGACGTGCCGTAACCGCCCGGAGCGTTGTGGGAGACGCGGTTTCGTCGGTCCTCTTGGGGTCGCGTTTGGGTCGGCTCCTCAGTTCCAGGACCGTGGTTCTTCCGGGGAGCCACCCTGACGCTCTCATCCCCAGCGCCTCCTTGGTTCGTTCTCGGGCATCACCCCAGCCCCCTTCCGCAACCCAGTGAGTTGCCTCCACCTCATCGAATTTCGGTCCGTCAACCTGCCTGGTTCCAGCCTCCACGTACTCTCTGCCCCGTGAGTGCTGAACTTTGGTGTCCCTTGCCTCAGTGGACTGATACCACCTGTTTTTCTGTAACTGCTTCCCTTTCCCGCCCTTCCATTCTCAATGGCACCAACCCACGTGCACCCTGCACCCAGTCTCACCTTCCCAGCGTCTTTTCTTGAGTCCCGTGAGAACGATGTGCTGGGGTGAAAATATGGACTCAGAATCCTCAGGCAGCTCAGTTTTGGAGCTGACGTGCTTGCAACCATCCCAGTGTTCTCAGGCTTCAGTCATGACCGGTCCTGGTTATCAGAGGGCCCCTCCAGACTCAGCTCTCTTCCTCTAACTCTTCTACTCTGTTCTTGGCAGCTGCTTTTCTCTTTCTGGTTATTTTTGTTAAAGCTGTCCTTAACGTGAGGGTTGGTGACCAAAGACTCAGGGGTTGTTCTTTTCAGCTAGCTTGGTGCCTGTGTCCATCCTCAGGCCTGTTGCTGAAGCCCATCTGCTGCAGGCCCATGTAGGTTCTCTGGAGAGGTGACACTGGACTTGTGTGGTCTCTAACATTGTGGCTTAGACTCAACTGTGCAAAAAATGCTGGGAAAAGGAGTCCATGGGGGCTGGATGGCCAGACTGATGCAGGAGACTGAGTTGGAAGTGTTGGGGCTGTGTCTTTCTTCACGCTTATCCAAGTGGCAAAAGGGCACAGGTGTTTGTGTGTTGAGGGTGCTTGTAGCCCCTGGGTGTGCAACCTTCCTGGAGGCAGCAGAGGGTTTGGCATATGTAGAGGCCCTGAGGGAAGCTAGGGTCAGAGAGTTAGGAGGAGTGAGGGTGGAAGTGCATCTGGGGGTGTTAGGATGGCTCCTGCGAGCTGACACTGGGAAGATACTGTCAGTTTTGAAACAGCAGGGCAGGAGCAGGTGGCAAAGGGAGGCTGAGTGCTGTGGACCTCCAGACAGGAGATTGGCAGCTGGGGTCAGAGTAGTGCTGCGGAGAGAAGTGAATAGATTCGGGAGGCTGTGGTTGGTTGTCAGAACAACTGGATAGATGTGGCACGGGGAGGATGGGCTTAGGAGGGAACTATGGGCTTAAATACAGAAGATCCAGGGACATGCTGGGCAGGCACTGTTGTAGCTTTCATGAGATGACCAGTGCCTTGGGCTTCTCCTGGGTTCGTGTTTGGCTCTGGTCAAGTGATGCCACGTGATCATTCTATCCAAGCCCTCTGCCTTGCTGATAGTACGGTTCTCTCTTTCTCTTAAAGATTTTATTTACTTATTTTTAGAGAGAGGGAAAGGGAGGGAGAGAGGAAGAGAAACATCAGTGTGTGTTTCCTGGCTGCCTCTTGTGCACCCTCCACTGGGGACCTGTCCTGCAACCTGGCATGTGCCCTGCCTGGGAATCAAACCAACCACCCTTTGGTTCACAGGCTGGCACTCAATTCACTGAGCCACACCAGCCAGGGCAGCAATTGGGATCTTAACCCCCACCCACTCAGCCAGCTTGTAGAGGTATTCTTGGCCAATTGCAGAAATGGTGGTCTTTCCTTTCTTTATCTGTTTTTTCAGAAATGGTCTTTCATGGGTGGCTGTCATATCACTCTTCATGTTTTGCCTCAGGAGGTTGGTTTGGCAGGTGGATCTATATACTTCTCAAGTCTTCAAGTTTGGGGCCCTGGCCTTCCATGTTGAAATTTTTTTCTGTGTGGACTTTCATGTGTTTATGTAGTTGTATCTGCACCGATTTTCCTTTATGTGTTCACTACATTAAGATGAACAAAACTTAAGAGCTTCCTTGTTTGTCGCTATTATAAAAGTCACACAGGCTTATAAAGTCAATGTTACAGGATTTCTAAAGTTCCAACAATGTTCTTTCAGCCTGAGACCATTGGCTACCTCAGTTCCAGTACCTGCCCTGACCTGACTCTCTTAGCTTCTGCCTAGGGGCCCATAACTACCTTCTGTCCTAACTAAATAGATCCCAGACCAGGGTCCTCAGAGTCCCCTTTGTGGTCAGTGAGAGGACAGTGAGTTCTACTGTAAGTCCCAGAGGAAACTTCCCTCCCTGACTGTGCCACTCAGGAGTGTCCCTGCCTGGGGAGCTGCTAATTTTGGCAAATGTAGAGAATGCCAGAGTGGCCCTGGTTCTGGCTGAGGAGTGAGGAGGAATCATGGAGGGGAGGTAGGAGGTAGGCAGGGAGCCTTTTCTAGCGTGGTAGTCACAAGCCTCGGGCCCAGGCTGGCTTGTCTTCTTTCCCTTATGCTGGGGCACCAGTCTTGTGGGGCAGTGGTCCCCAGCCTTTTTGGCACCAGGTACTGGTTTCTTGGAAGACAATTTTTCCATGGGGGGCAGAGGAGAGACAAGAGGTAGAGCTCAGGCAGTAATGTTAGCGGAGCTTTGCTTGCTTGTCTACGGCTTACCTCCCGATGTGCAGCCCCATGCCTAACAGGCCATGGATTGGTACCAATCTGTGGCCCTAGGGGTTGGGGACCCCTGTTGTGGGGGGTCAGGGTGACTCAGAGCAGTAGGGGAAAGTCTACCTGCACGTCTGGAAGCCTGGACACACAGGCCTCAAAATGCTGTTGTCAGAAGCACAAGGCTAAAGGCTGATGCTGGTCTGTAGTGGAGTTAGGTCCCAAGTCTCCTACTGCATGAAGATTCCTTCTTTGGCACTGTCGTTCACCCTGTTTCTGGCACCCAGGGTGGGGGTCTGTGCCAAGGGCTTGGGCAATGGGATGGAAGTGGAAAATAGCTAGGGGCACTGGCATGGGAAAAGGGCCACCCCTCAAAGCTTCAGGATGCTGAACCTACATGGGCAGGATGTATTTCCCGTAACTTGCCATTGAAAACACTCCTGATGGAGATCTCCCAGTGTGGAGGAGCCCTCGGGGGTTATGCGTGGGTTCAGGGTAGGAGGTGAATGCAGCCTATGGTATGGGAATGACCACTAGGTGGCTGGGAAGCTGGCTCTGGGCCTCCCTCTGACCTCCATTCCCAGACTAGTTGGAATCCCATCAGAAGGGGCCCCACTCTCAGTATCTGCTGGTGGTAAATGTGGGAATGAGGGAAAAGTCCTAAAAGAATGTGTATTTTCAGATAAAGCCTTCCAGCTTTTACACCTAAGGAATGCCTTCCCAGGTTTAGTTTTACAAGCATATTCCAGGCCACATCTGGTCTGATGGGCATGAGTTTGCTACTTTTATTGCATCCAGTGATCTTGGCTGGCTGGAGAGAACTGAGCCAGTCCAGGTCCTCCCCTGCCAGTTCGTTTGACTCATGGATGTGTGCCTTGAAGTCATCCTAACAGTACTGGAATCATAGTAAATGGGGAACCCTCGTGCAGTTGCTGCTAGGAGCCACTTCTGCAGGGGGTCAGGCTCTCAGGAACCATGAGGTTGCAGTGGAAGTGATGGATAGGTGGGATTGTTAGAGAGAGACCTGTGCAGGTAGGGTGGCATTGAGTGTCTGGAGATCCAGAGCCAGGTTCCTTCTACTGTTTATTGAGTACCTACTGGGGCATCAGACTCTGGACCAGCCTGCGTATACCTATGTGATGGCAGGCCTCACAACAACCCTGCGAACTAGGTGTTCTGTCCCCCTGTGTCCCCCTACACACAGAGAACTGAGGTGGGCACAGAGGAGGTCAGTGGGCACTGGTTACTCTGTACTGTGGACACGCTGATGCCGGATGAGCTTGGTGCTCTGGTGGAAGCGCCGGCCACAGTCCTGGCAGGAGAAGGGCTTTTCATGCCGGTGGGTACGCAGGTGCTGCGTGAGCGTGGGCCGCTGGCGGAAGGCCTTGCCACACTCCGGGCAGGCGTAGGGCCGCTCTCCTGTGTGGATGCGCCGGTGCTGTGTGAGGTTGGCATGCTGTCGGAAGCACCGGCCGCACTCAGGGCAGGCAAAGGGGCGCTCTCCCGTGTGGATGCGCTGGTGCTCCGTGAGCCGCGAAACCTGTGTGAAGCCCAGGCCGCATTCACCACAGTGGTAGGGCTTCTCGCCAGTGTGTGTCCGCTGGTGGCGTGTGAGCTTGAGACGCTGGCTGAAGCACTGGCCGCACTCGGGGCAGGAGAAAGGCTTCTCGCCTGTGTGCACCCTCAGGTGCTGTGTGAGCGTGGGCCGCTGGCGAAAGGCCTTGCCGCACTCGGTGCAGGCGAAGGGCCGCTCACCGGTGTGGATGCGACGGTGCTGCGTTAGGTTGGAGCGCTGCCGGAAGCTCTGGCCGCATTCGGCACAGGCGAAGGGCCGCTCACCACTGTGCACTCGCCGGTGCTGCAGCAGCACTGAACGGCGGCCGAAGCGCTCCCCGCACTCGATGCAGCTGAAGGATTTGTCGCCCGTGTGCACAGCCTGGTGCTCCACCAGCACTGCGCGCCGCGCGAAGCTCTCGCAGCACTCGCTGCACGGGAAGGGACCTGGGGGCTCCGGTGCACTGGGAGGCGTGGGGGGCCCAGTGCCAGTACCTGGAGGATCACCGTGGATGTGCCGGTGCTGCAGCAGGTTGGAGCGCTGCCGGAAACTTTGGCCACAGTCGGTGCAATGGAAGGGCTGCTCGCCCGTGTGCACACGCCGGTGCTCCTCCAGTCGTGCGCTGCGCACAAATCCCTGACCGCAGTCGCTGCAGACAAATGAGCGTTCCTCCGTGTGCGTGAGCTGATGGCGCAGCAGGTGTGAGCTGCGGCTGAAGCCACGGCCGCACTCACCGCACACAAATGGCCGCTCTCCCGTGTGTATCTTCTGGTGCCGCAGCAAGTTGCTGCGTTGGCTGAACACCTTCCCACACACGTCGCAACGGCCACCTCGTACTGCCCCAGCACCTGTGCTGGGACGACCTCGGCTCCGACCCCCGGGGGCTGGCCAGCAGACAGTGGTCATTCGCCCCACACCCTGGCAGGGATCCTTGTCCGTGGGGTCCTGCTCACCTCCTGGGTCGCTGGGGAGCACCAGCGCATGTGAGAAGCCACCTTCTCTGGAGGGTGACTGGAGTTGGCCTGTGAGGCCAGCGACACTGAGGTCCCAGTGGAGGTGGGGGCTCACAGTGCCTGGGCCAGCAGAGACACTGTCCATCTGGAGCGCAAACCCTGCATTGTACAAAGGGATCCACTCCTTTGTGACAGAACCCATTGTGTGCCTGGAGCGTTCTAGCCCTGGGTAAACAGTGTGAACTGGAGGCTCCGACACTGACCAAGGAGGCAGACAGAGGAGCAGGGACTCTACCTGTGCGAGCATCCTCAGGAGGTGACAAGGGGACAGAATCTTGTATGAGGAAGAAGACTAAGAAGCCTAGTGTAGGCTTTCCAGGTCTGACTTCAGTTTGCAAAACATCACCTTTCTAGAAGGGCTGTTTGCAAAGGTGGTCCTTGTACCACCAGGTGGGTAAGGATGGTTTCCACAAATGCATAGAAGTGGGTGGGTCTAATGTGCTTTGCTCAGTGCCCATGGGGCATCTGAGGGACAGTGCATACATGTAGGTTTGGGATGCAAGAGTCAGGAGCTCCGTCTTCAGGGAAAAAGAAATATAAACCTGGGTGCTGGGGCATATGCATGGCATATGGAGCCCTGGGCCTGCATAAGATCAAATGGAGTGGGGTGGAGGGGTGTCTGTCGAGAAAAGGAGTGTCCTCTAGCCACAATCTGACCTCAGGAGTAGATGCTGGGTAACGAGAAAGTACAAGCAAAGGCCACTGAGAAGCAAGGCAGGAGAATAGGAAGCCCAGAAGTCAAATCAAGAAGACAGTATCAAGGGCTTCAGTGGTGGTAACCCTAAGTTACCTAAGTAACCCTAAGTTATCAAGAGGCAGATAAATTATATCAAAGAAAATAACTTATGCACATCAAAAAAAAAACTTAAAAAAAAAAAAAAGACAAACTGAGAAACTCTCTAGAGGCAAGGTGTTAATTAACCTTAAAAGAATTCCATCCTGGCTGGTGTGGCTCAATGAACTGAGTGCCAGCCTGTGAACCAAAGAATTACTGGTTCAATTCCCAGTCAGAGCATATGCCTGGGTTTTGGACTAGGTCTCCAGGAGGGGGTGCATTAGAGGCAACCACACACTGATGTTTCTCTTTCTCCCTCCCCAACTCTAAAATATAAACTCTTAAAAAAAAAAACAAAAACCTGGCTGCACAGTAAATATGCAGTTGAGGGGCCAGGAGAGCAGACAGGAGACCTGATGGGGAGACTGAGGTGGACGGGGGACCTGTGTGTGAGTATGGGAGCTGTAGCTGTCTATAGCATGTGCAGCCTGAGGAAAGAATGGGGCTGCAAAGGAGGAATCCACCAGGGAACCCAAAGTATGCTGCCAGTGTGGCTGGATAAAGACTGGGGTTGTAAACTGAAAGACGTCCCAAGCTGGAGGAAGTGGTCAGCCACACAGCGCAGGCTGCATCTCTCTGGCAGCTGAAACCTAAACAGAAGGGGCATATACCAGATACTGCTTTTAGGTCTGACACAGAGAATGTAACCTAAAAATACCTTGGGCAATTCCAAAGCAAGATCGGCCAGCTGGTGAGGTTCAGGGATCCAGAGCCTAGTACAGTGAGCTCTAAAGCTGGGGGCTGAAGGGCTATGACAGCCCAGTCCGCCCACAGACCTGGACAGGAACAACCTGTTTGCTTTTGGTTGGGCTGCGGAGGTATCTTCCTTGAATGGCCTGGGGACCACATCAGGGTTTTTTTGTTTTTAAAGATTTTATTTATTTTTAAAGAGAAGGGGAGGGAGGGAGAAAGAGAGGGAAAGAAACATCAGTGTGTGGTTGCCTGTCATGTGGCCCCCACTGGGGACCTGGCCTGCAACCCAGGCATGTGCCCTGACTGGGAATCAAACTGGTGACCCTTTGGTTTGCAGGCCCACACTTAATCTACTGAGCTACACCAGCCAAGGCCATCTCAGGGCACCCTGTGGCAGCCCTTCACCTAGGATGATGCAACAAGCTCATAGAACTCAGGCAGTCTGTCAACAGTGCAACCTGTGGGAGAAACTGAGGCTAACCAGTCTGGGAAGGAAACTAAATTATTTCCTCACAGCTGAGGAAACTGGGCTAACCAGTCTGGGAAGGAAACAAAGTTATTTCTAAATCCTCAAAGGAGGGACCAGCATCTACGAAACAAAGACATTATGGAGAAAGAATGAATGATCCTCCTTACTGCTAGTATAGCAGATGGCGACTTTTGGGAAACAGTATCATCTATTTAAAATTGTTCCATCTTGAAATGAGTAAAAAGACAAAGTTTTGTGTGTGTGTGTGTGTGTGTGTGTGTGTGTGCCCCAATAAGATCCCCAAAGATAAAGAGAAAAAGAAACAGACCCAATAGTGTCTACTCTAGAAAGCAGATGAGTCGGTGACTGTGTAGCAGACTGAATAAGGTGAATACTAAATCAGTGGGGAAACAAAACAAAAGAATATCAGCGTGTTTTACCCTAAGGAAAGCTCAAAAAATTCAGGAGTTGGAGGTACTAGATACCTCTGGCCTTGCAGGGGTAGGGCTGCCATGCAGGTGGAGGAGGCTGTTTTATAAGCAGAAGCTGGGCACAGAACAGCCCTGGGCTCTGCACAGAATGCTGAACAAACAGTGGGCACTACTGTAGCTCGGATTCTGGGTCTTTTCTCCCATTTTGACAAAAAGGCTGGGTTGAGGTGGGAGACCCTACCGAGGAAGTTAAGGGATAAAATGAAGCCATATTGGAGCTGAGACACCAGCCTATTACCTGAGAGAGGACTCAGGTAAGACCTAAAGAGGATCAGATCAAGGTGCGCTCCAAGTGGCCCAGGCAGAGTGCTCTACAGATCCTTAACTGGCATCCAGTGATACTCCCCGCACCTGCTCATGTCCCCCAATATGTAGGTCTCCTTGGGATTGATCCCCCTTGTCCTTCCCACACCCTCATCCACTTGCTAAGAGCCATCAGATTGGTGGTCCCTTGTCTTACATGAACGCAGACAACCTGGGGGGACTAGAGACCACAGTGGGAGGACAAAACTTAAAAAACAAATTACTGCGATTCTTAGAGAAAGATAAAAGTGTAAGAACAGGAAGTGGCTATAAAAATGAATGTTTAAGGAATGAAACTTGGGAATTAAAACTGTTAGCAGGTATGAACATCTCAACATAAGGCCTGAAAGACATAACTGAAGAACTTTTCTTGACAACAGAACATAAAAGGATGGAAGACTGGAGTGAAAAGATAACATTAGAGGATCTGTTTCAGAGGCCAACAGCTAAAGAACAGGCATGCCAGAAGACAGAATAAAACGAGGGAGCCCTGGCTGGTGTGGCTCAGTGCACTGAGTACCAGCCTGTGAGCCAAAGGGTCACTGATTTGATTCCCAGTCAGGGCACATGCCTGGGTTGCAGGCCACGTCCCCAGTGGGGCTGAGAAATAGACAACCACATGTTCTCTCAAAATAATCTTAAAAAAAAAAAAAAGCGAAGGAAATCAAAGGAACCTTTCCAAGCATTTCCCACAACTGAGGTGTGTTTTTCAAATGGGAAAGGGTCACTAATAATGTGGTAAAAAGAGGTTTGTGACTAACTTAATAAAAAGAATTTTCTCCGGCCAAACTCTGGTCTAACGTGTCAGAGAAATGTATCTCAGAAATGTCCACTAAAGCAAGGGAGTGAATCAAAAAGAAGGGGTCCAGGGAACAGGGAGGAAGAGATCAGGAGTCTGGATGATGTCAAGCTAGGATTGAGTGGCTGGAGTGAACACCTGGGTGACTGATGAGAATCCCACTGTCCTGCCTGTGCACTCTGTCTACTAACCCGTTCTCCTAATCACTCCCCATCCTCCCTATGCTGACAACCAGAGTCCAGGGGGCACGGAGATGGGAGGCATGGGTTTGGGGAACACAGACTGCGGTTTTGGGAAGTTTCACTGTGGTGAGGGATAGCAGTTGGAGGGGCATGGGGTCAGTGGAAAGCTTGGCTTTTGGGGGCAGATGCTGAAACTTGATGCTACAGGGGCTCGGGGAGCAGGGCTAGGAGTGGGATAGGCAGGTGTGTTATTGTTCACACAAGAGGGCCCATCCCCACCATGCTCATCTTACTCACCTGGGGAGAAGATGCTCCCAGGTTTTTCTTGCCATAGGGCCCCAGGGAGTTCCATCCATGAGCGCCCATTAGGCCCAGTCTTGCTGTGGAGAGAGGCCTGGTCCAGCACCATCCCACAGCCCTGAAACCACAGTGGTCACTGCTCATCTGTGCCCTGCTAGGCTCAGGGAGGGACCTACCCGACCCCCACCCACAGGGGTGGAGCTTACCTGGGTCTCCTCAAGCAGGAGGGTAGAATCGGCCTCCCGGAGGTTGGCTAGAGGCCCAGAATCCAGAAATTCTGGAGAGGAAGGGTGGGGTTAGACAGCCCAAGGTTGTTCCCACCCCTCTGCCCTCCTCAGTGATGGGCCACGTGCTGGGATCCAGGTGGGGTGAGAGCTGGGTGCCAGCTTGGGACTGGGCATGGCAGGATGGCTCTAAGGGCCCAGCTTGGGGGTAGAGCAAAGTAGGGCCCCTGGAAGGCCACAGAGGAACTGCAGCAGGAGAAGGTGGCTCAGGCCTCTGCCCTGCATGGCTGCAGAAAACTTGGGCAGATGGATAGTGAGGGCAAGAGAAGGGCATTGCATGAGGGTCCACACAAGAGTGGTGGATGGGTGGTCAGCTGTAACACCTGCCTGGTAGGTGTACAAGGGAGGGTCAAGCCCCCAGTACTTTGGGGTCCTCCCTCAGCCACACCCACCCATACCCCAGCCTACTGTTTGTTCCCCAGTGACTAGATGACATCCCCCAATAGATCTCCTTGGGAGTGAACCCCACATGCCTCCCACACATGGAAACACAACTGTGACACTCAGGCTTGGCATTTGAGGGGGCCATGACAGCCACTGGCTGGCTGGGATGTGAGGTCCCTGTGCATGGGAATGGTTCCATCCACCAGGTGACTGGCCCAGTGTGCTTCAGGCCACTCAGGCCAGGCTCCCATGCTCTACCCAGTCAGGCCCTGGGCCCTGCCTACCTTGCCTGCCCTCACCTGGGTCCTCTGTGACCCCGGGCTCCTCTTTCACGTGAAGGCTCAGTGGCGACCTCTGTGTGGCTCCAGGGGTTGTATCAGGCCCAGGTTCTGTAATCCCAGGCTTGGTTTGAGGGAGTGGCTGGAAGTCCGACAGCTCCATCTTCTCTGATAGCACCTCCTGGCCCTGCACCTGGACTGTGACCTGGGGAGGTGCCCCCTCTTCATCAGGGGCGCAGGCAGTTGGGCTGGACCCCATCACAGGACTCTAGGGGTCCTGACAGACTAGGTCCTTCAGGGACCCCCCACCCCCCGAGGAATGAGCAGGGAGCCACTGCAGTGGCTATCCTGTGTTGACACCCTGCATCCCTCCCCGTGTCCTCGACCTGGCATAGGGTCTGCTGTAGGTGACCACTCCAAACCACAAGGGACAGGTGTCTAGCTGAGCGTGGCATCTCCCAGGTTAACCCTGATCTCTGCCAACTGCCTCACCCATCTCCGGGGTCCTCCTGGCTTCCGACGCAGCTCCTCAACAAGGGCCACAGCCTCCTCAGTGCTGCCTGGCTGCTGTTCCCGCACTTGGGCCTGGATCTCAGTGGGCAGTGCACCCAGAAACTGCTCCAGCACCAGTAGTTCCAGCATCTGCTCCTTGGAGTGTACCTCGGGCTGCAGCCACTGGCGGCATAGCTTCCGGAGCAGGGCCAAGGCCTCTCGGGGCCCTGCTGCCTCCTCGTAGCGGAAGTGCCAGAAACACTGACGTGCAGCCTCTGGGCCAGGATCCCATGGGGTGGTCTCCTTCTTTTCCTCCTCAGAGTCCTCCAGCTTCACCATGATGGGTCTCTTGTCTTCTGGGGCTTCGTGCCCTGGGGAGCCCAGTGCTGTGGGCCTCATCAGAAAGACAGTCTGGGCTGAGGCCGGTGTCTGCCCCTGGGGGATGAATGGGATAAAGCTGCTGCAATGATAGTGGCGCAAGTGCTTATTGAGCGCCTAGTGTGTGCTGTGCTGTCCCATCCTCAGACCTGCCTAGGGAGAAGGCAGGTGAAGACACTAAGGAACAGAGAGGTGATCACATCCCAGCGCCCTGTGGGGCTGGTTACCCATGGACGAGCTACCTGTCCCTGGTCTCTCTAGCTGGGCTGCAGAGGCTCTGGTAGCCCCCCAGCTCCAAGCAAAGACTTCTTAGGGCTTGAAGCCACTCCTCATTCCCCTAAATCCTGCCCTTCAATGTGTACTACCTTATCCTGGCCCTGTAGCTCTTCCCCCCAACAGGTGAATGACAGAACACCTCCCAACCTGTGCATCAGCACCACTACCCAGCCCCATGCCGGCCCATTATTGCACCATCCACTCTCCCACCCAGTCTCAGAAATTCACTTGCCCTCTTGGTTTCACAGGGCAGCCTCCCTCCACTTATCCGAATTCACCTGTGTGGTTCAACACCCAGATGGCATCCTTTCTCAATCCAGCCCCATCTTCTGAGCCCTGCTTATCACACCATGCAATGTCCTATCATCTCAGGTTCCTGACTCAGGTAAACCTAGAAGGTGATGGGGGAGCTTCCAGAGGCCTGCAAAGGCCCTGCGACCACGGGACCCGAAGACTGCAATAAAGGTCTGAGATTCGCCTATTTGCCCCATAACTTTGGCTGTTGTCTGTGAACCTGTTTCCTCAACTGCTAATAAGGACCACAACCCCCGCCGCACTCCCTGCTTCTTCTGAGGCAGTAAGACTCGGGCTTGGTTAAGACATGTTTATTTAAAGGGTGGATTCCATTTCGAGGGGCGCCAAATTCCATGGGCCAACCCTCCGCTCCTCAACACAAAAACCTTGGGAGAAAGCTGGGCCATCTTAAGCGGAACTACATTTTAGTTACCGAACTACATTTACCAGTTTTGACCCCCGACTTCCGCTTTAGGGAGCAACCACGGACCCGGTGCCGCCAAGGCAACTGGGGGCGGGGCTTCCAAGGTCTGTCGCCTTGCCAACGCTCAGTAACCGGCCTCCGGCGACAGTGCGGGGCCCGCCTGCAAGGACTGCCTAGGTCCCTTCCCTGTACTCCCGGACCTCAAAGCAGCCGGAACCCACGAGTCCGCAGCCACCACCCCAATTCCCGTCCAAGCCTTTCCCAATGAGAGCCTCCCCCCGCCCTCACCTCAGCTCTCAACAGCCCGCTTTCCCGCTCCTGAGCAAGCGAATTCCCTGACTTTCCTTCCCTGGCCGGACTATATCTCCCAGAATGCTCTACGCAGCAGTCGGAGCACCTCCTTGCCCTTCCCCCACCCTCGCCTCAGTTTCCACCCTGTTCCCTGGGATAGCGCTGTTCCCAACGATCAGGTAGCACTCCTGACCGCCTCTTCCCGCGCTTCCCAGGTACCCAGGTATTGGGGCTCCCGTCAACGCACGCAAGCTTCCCAAAGGCAACAGACAGCAACGCTGCCTATCGGACCGCGCACGCCTCCCATCATCTCTCCCTCAACTCTCTCAAGGTCTTTCCAGGGGATTAGCACGGTTCTGCACCAATCACCGCCCTCGGTCATCCCGGGTCTCCATGGAAACCGCCCGCTGAGATTGGGGGAGGTGCCACTCTCTCCCGGAACGGAATGCTGAAAGTAGATCGACCCGGTGCTTTCTGGGAGATGTAGTTAGCCGGGCGCTCCGTGCGTGTTTATGCACCGTTTGCTTTGGCTAGCGGTAGGTGGGCTGGTGCCTGTCCACAGTAACATGTGGGACCCGCTCGTTGGTCTCCTAGGCAACCCAGGGGCGTGGTGGGCGTCGGAAAAGCGCGGGAAGTGGGGTGAAAGCGTGGGGCGGAGACTGGGATAAAGAGGTGCGGGGTAGAGGGGAGAAGGGAGTGACTGATACAGGCGAGGAGACTCCAGTATGTGAACACACGGAAAGAAAAAAGAGAGAGGAATCTCTACTCTCTCTGAGCTACAGAATGTGATAACAATCCAGCGAGTCAGGGAGTGATACCGGGGTTGACAGGGGTACCAGAATAGTTAGCAACAGGGACGGAGATCAGGAAGGGATGGAGGTGACAGGAAAGAGGGAGAGAATAGACTCACAGGGACCAGAAGTGTAGACATTGAGACTCAAGGGACTGACAAGGCCACAGGAATACACAGGCAAGAAGGAACAGAGAGACAAAAATCAGAGATAGAATAAGATGGATTGAGAGTTTTCAAAGACTAAGAAAAAGTGACAGCAAGAAGAGAACCAGAAAGAGTTAGTGGGAGACTTGTTATGAAAACTTACCCAAAACCTGACATTGAGGCAAAAAGATGACTAGGAGCCCCAACTCCCTAAGCCAAGCAACTGTTTTTAACTACTTTGATCAGGGACCAGATACTGTGAATTTAGATGCTAAGTTGTAAAGGTTGATAGGTTGCAAATGCTCACTGTCCCTTATAAAAGAAAGTATCCCCAGAGCTAGAGTTGTGTCACACTCTAGGACCCTAAGTGTCACAGGACTGACTGTACGACACCTCTGTCCCACCCCTGTGCTCTAGGGCACTAGTCCGACTTTGGGTTTTTATTTAGTGTTCTGTTTTTCAACTCCATTGTTCCTTCTCTCTCATCTTCCTGGAATCACCTGTCATCCTCCTAGCTCCCTGGGTGAAGAAATCAAAGTTAGAGTTTGTTTTTCCCTTCCTTTTTTTTTTTTTCCAAAAAAAATCTTTCTAGTCTTTTATAATGGATGACCTCACTTTCTATTTTTTTTAAAGATTTTATTTATTTTTAGAAGAAAAAGGAGAGAGAAAGAGAGGGAGAGAAACATCAATGCGTGGTGCCTCTCATGCACCCTGCACTGGAGACCTGGCTTGCAACCCAGGCACATGCCCTGACTGGGAATCAAATCAATGACCTTTTGGTTCGTAGGCTCCAGCTCCATTTACTGAGCTACATCAGCCAGGGCTGTTTTTACATTTATTAATTTTTTTAAATCAGAAAGTGTTATTTAGAAAGGCACAGAGGTAGAAGTGAGCCAGCTGGGCTTCTTAGGCTCAGGAAACTGTTACAGAGGCAAAAGAAGAGTCCTTGGAGGTTACGAGAAAGGCAAAGAGAAGGTGCCTGGGCGGAGGGCTGGAGGGAAAGGCACGGGGCTGCTCCTGAGAGGGAGAGCGCGCTTTTTTCTACCTTTTTTGAAAATTATGTGTTGACAGCCTGAGGGGAATCAGCTTCCAGGATGGGGGACAGACATGGAAAAAGAGATAACAGTGTGACAGCCAGGAAGGGAAAGAGGTAGGGAAGGTGATGGAAAGGCTGACAGAAAGGAGGGGGTGGGAAAGATGTGAACACACAAAAAATTAGGTGCCGACAGCCTGTGGCTGCCCTACTTGGACTCCGCGCGTTGTAGCCTCATCACCGAACTATATTTCCGACCGCCCCAGCGCCCAGAGCGATGTCGGAGGCGCTCCCCACCGGCAACTTTTCGCTTTCGCGGACAAGATGGAGGCTGGGCTCGGCTACATCCGGCGAAAGTGCTGTGAAAGCGGGACCTGGGGAAGGGCCGCAGCCTCGCCGGCCCAGCTGAAGCAGCCCGCCTGCGTCGCTGTCCTGAGGTGAGGGCGGTCGAACGCGCGCAGGCCAGGTTCTGGAGATGAGGGCGACCTTTCCTACGGTTCCGGCGGCTGGGACGGAGAGACGGAGAGACGGTTGCGCGCGCAGCCCGGGACGTGCGCCACCGGGATGTGGGCCAATCGGAGTATTCCGCAGTCCCCGCGGCTTTCTGGGAAATGCAGTACGGAGAGACTTGGGTTGGAGAGCCTTCCTGGGCGGTGGATCTGGGAAGTGAGGGGATGAAAGGGTCAGTGAGTGGGTTAAGTTACAATTGTGATTGAGTAAGAGAAGGTATGGTTGCAGAGGGAGAAGGATAGGCGCGAGTGGCTTGGTATTCGGGGCCTGCCCACCCACCTCGCCTTGCCTCCCCGGCCTGAGAGCCCCCTGGGCTGTGCTACCTCGTTTCAAGGCAGTTGCAGCCCTGAAGAAGGTACTCGTTCTAGATGCCAGAGCCACTCCAAACACAGAGACTCGCTAGCCATTTGTTCCTCCTTTTCACGTGGCACTCCTTCAAAAATAACTTTACTGTTTTGGTTAGGTGCTACTTTCACAGGGTTGAAAGTGTAAAAGGGACAAGGTAGGAAGCCTGTCCTACCATTTTACTTCATGTAATAATTTACTCAGCAAGCGACTACAGGGGGACACAGCAGAGAACTATGTAGACAGGGCTCCTGCCCTCAGGCACAGTAAAACTTAGGTGTGGAGGTTACATTTGAGCAGAGATCTGCAGGAGGAGAGGGAACAAATTGTATAGATAAGAGGTAAGAGCCCTAGCTCTGGGTGAAAGGAACCACAGGAGCAAAGGCCTGAATCAGTGTTACTGAACAAGAGGTCCGAGGGGGGCAATACTTGGTCCACCTAGGGCCACCAAAAACTGTTACAGAACAACAGGGGCCCCTCCCAAGGATGGAATACTAATATCTACTGGGCTCTTCTGTCCGCCGCCAATTGGAAAGACATCTCTCAATGCCAGAGATTTGTGAAAAGGAAACGAAATGTTTTTTTTTAATGCTTTTTAGGCCCAATGCCTCCACTAAAATATCAAAGCCCTTTAGGGTATACTCCTACACCCACACAGCTCTCCCTTCTCCCACTGTCCCAACTCCGGGTACCGTAAATCAGGAAAGAGCACACCTCTGTATTTCAGGCCGCTGGCACCGTCAGCTGTGTCGCTGTACAGGCAGGATCTCTCTCTCTAGTTAATCCAAAGTACTGTGGCACCCTCTCATAGTCCACTGGAAAGAGTTTTTTGTACCAAGTTCTAGTCAAAGTCTCTCCTGCTTTCCAGGCCACACGGCCAAAGGGGGCACCCCAAAGCTGCATGGGCCTCTTCTACCAAAGCTGCAGGCGTCCACACTCTACCAAAAGCATGTGTCTTTCTTCTCCTGGCTGCAGGGATCTCCATTCTGGCAAAGCTGTGTGGTTTTCCCTTTCACCTCACCAAGAGGGGGGTCCTCACTCTGACCAAAATTGCATGGCTCTCCCCTACATGACTGCAGGGGTCCTCACTCTGCCCCAAACTGGTGGCTCTCCCCTCACCTGGCCAAGAGGGGACCCTTACTTTACTGAAACTGCGTGGCTCTCTTAATGGCTGCAGGGGTCTGGGTTTTAAATTCTTGCGCCAATCTTCCTCTGTACCCCTATTTCCTACTCTTCCCATGATCAGTTACACCTGCCAACATTTCTGTATTATTACAAGTTTACTGGGCTGCCATCGCTAGTCTGGGCAGTTATAGCCCCATGTCCTGGAGCCAGTCTTCTCCAAGCTCCCACGCAGGCGCTGTAACTTGGGGGACCTGCCCCCAGTTACATCTTGGGGGAAGTGACTTCATCCCCCTAGCTCCAGGCCTGGCCACAGCCATTTAACATAGCCAAGTGACCCACCAAAGGCTATAGATATGTTAAATGACCAGGCCATGGATTAGCTGCAAGGCTGTGGCTGTACAAAACAGCCCTGCATGTTCCTGCTCCATGTGTCCCTTCCTCCAACTCACACCGGTGGGGGGGAAGGGGTGAGGACATCTATGTATCTCCAATATTCTTATACACTTTGAATTCTGGACACCATTCCAAATCTTTTTGGGGGCCCTCCCCCCTTGGCTGTACCTCGTATCATCAGGAGTTAGCAAAGAAGAGGAGGCTTGAGGAAAGTGAGAATGTAGTGGCTTTTCCTCAGGGAGAGAGGAGAGACAGGAAGGGCTCTGAGCAGAGGGTGACTGGATCTGACTGAATTCTTACTGAGTCATTCTGGCCACTATGCAGAGAACCACCTTCTTCCCCTATCCCCAAGTATTCCCCAGTGGTGGCACGAGTTAGGGGGGTTCCCTTCTGTGAGAGTTGCCTGTGACTGCTGTGGCATATCACTACAAATTTAGTGCTTTAAAGCAAAACAGATTTATCATTTTAGAGACTCAGAGGTCAGAAATCTGAAGTGGGTCCTTATGAGCCAAAATCAAAATGCTGGTAGGGCTGGTTCCTTCTGTAGGCTATAGTCTTCTGTGTTCATGCTGCCTTCTGAGTGAAATCTGCCTACTGTTACAAGGACCCTTGTAATGACATTTAGGGCCCTGTGGGAGCGACTTTCTCAAAAGTCCCCCTGAGTGCCACTGACAGGAGTGAATATGGCGGAGACATGATTTAATCTGCTTGGAGAGGAGACGTGGGCCGTGGCCAGTTTCTCAGGGGAGACAAAGGCCAGCAGTGGCCAGTTTCTCCAAGGAGAAAAAGGGCCCCGAGCCCCCTGCTCGAGGGCTTTTATTGGATTGCAATACACAGGAATACAGGGTGGCAAGGATCAAACAGTGGATAACATTTCAAAGAAATCTGAGGGCTTACTATGAGTCCGAGTCTGTCAGGAACAGAGTTTTAGGGTTTCCTGCTCGAACCCTTACCATATGAATGAAAGCACACTTAGCAGAGCAGATTTCACAGGTATATCAGGAAGTCTTTGTGATGCCAGATTTTCCCCAGGACACGCTCTAGCAAGGCAAGGAGCTGCACCTCTCCCCATCAGGTATTCAGGCTTAAGGGGATTAGAGCCAGGAAGCGCTTCTCCCAGAGAACATGGGGACTCGGGCTATGTCAAAGAGGGGGGGTGGGGTGGGGTGTGTGTGTAGTGCATTGCTCTTTGTTGTAGCCCCGCCCCAATCCTTCCATGAAGGCCTCCCAAGTGATCAAGTCTGGCTTAGGTTGCCCCCCGCTGTGAGGGGTCTTACCCTTCATTGACTTCCGACCAAGCTTTGGGGGCAGGGAGAGGAACTGAGGCAGCGTTTGCTACCAGAGACAGGCTTTGTCTCCTGCGGCTGACATTCCAAAGGTCGTCTCTCGCCCTCAGCCACAAGGGGTAGAGATACAATTCCTAAAACCAGGCAGAGCGGTGTAAAACAAGGCCCATTCTTTTTTTAAAATTTATTTATTTATTTATCTTTAGAGGGGAAGGGAAGGAGAGAGGGAGAGAAATATCAATGTATGGTTGCCTCTCGTGGGTCCCCTGCTGGGAACTGGCCTGCAACCCCAGCATGTGCCCTGACTGGGAATGGGACCTCGATTCTCTGGTTGGCAGGCCCGCAATCAATCCACTGAGCTACACCAGCCAGGGCTAGGGCCCATTCTGATAACCCAGGATAATCTCCCCCATTCAGGATTAATTTGATCCCAACTGACAAAGTCTCTTTTGCCGTGTAAGGTGATTTACTCCTAGGTTCCTGGTATTAGGATGCAGATGTCTTCAGGACACATCCTTTTTCAGCCTCCCACTCTGACAATTGATGTCTCTGAGTGACAGCTGTGGAGCTGGACAGCTCATCTGCTCATCCGAGTCAGGGAGGTGGGGCAGGGTTTCTAGATGCTCTTAGATTTGCAGGGCCAGGGAGGGAAGAGTGAAGTCTCAGCTGTGTTTTGATCTCATGAGCTAAAACTAAGTGACACCACAGACTTCTAGAAACAAAGAATGCCTGGATATGAGTGTGCAGTGCTTTTAGCAGTAGGAAAGGAAGGTACGGGCATGCCTCTGAGTAGGGTTCAGTGCTCTGTGTGAGAGCATGGGAAGGCTGGGCAGTGGTTGGGACTCCCATGTGTTCACATATTAATGCTTATATATGTCCTTCTTACAGAGCGGCCAAGGGGAAACCATTGTGGGCACAGTGGCAGCTACTGTGGAGGGGCAAGAGGTTCAGAGATCATCAAGGTGCATGGTGTGAGGAGGTGGAATGAAGTCAAACCCCTGCCTTCAGGTTTTGGGGAAGGCATCCCTTGGTGGGACTGGCCTTCGCCACAGTGCCAAGAGGGACCGGAAGTCCATCTCTTTGCATGTGAAGTTGGAGGTTCTTTGGAGGTTTGAAGAAGGTGAAAAGTTGACTCAGATTGTCAGGACTCTAGGGCTAGCCACCTCCACCGTTGCCTCAATCCGTGTCAACAAGGACAAGATCCGAGCTAATTCTCAGGCAGCTACACCTATCAGTGCCAAGCAGCTGACCCGCTGCCAGGGTGTGGTGATGGGTCATATGGAACACCTGCTGAGCCTGTGGATTGAGGAGCAGAAACAGCGCAACCTGCCTGTCAGCACACTGCTCATCCAGGACAAGGCGCGGCACCTCTTTGCACAGTTGCAGCACGAGCAGGGCAATGGTGCCCAGGCTGAGACCTTTGGGGCCAGTAATGGCTGGTTTGCACTTTCAAGGCACTACACAATGTACTGCTGACGGATGAGCCTGCTGTGGCTGATGCCCAGGCCGCAGCCTGCTACCTCCCAGTGCTGCATACCATTCTGGAGGATGGTTGCTACTCACCACGCCAAGTCTTCAACGTTGATGAGACAGGCCTTTTCTTGAAGAGGCTGCCTGAGCGCATGCTGCTGGCTCTGGAGGGTGCAGCCAGGCCCGGGCCCAAGGCTCCTAAGGACCACCTGACTCTGCTGCTGGGTGTCAACGCAGCTGGTGACTTCAAGCTGAAGACCCTGCTGGTGTACCCCTCGGAGAACCCATGTGCCCTCAAGGGCTGCTCCAAGGCCATCCTGCCTGTGGTCTGGTGTTTCAACCGCAATGACTGGCTGACGCCCAGCATCTTCCAAGACTGGTTTACTAGCTGCTTCT